CTCGACCATTATACATGTAGGCAAAGGCGGCCTAGGCTTGCTAAATTCTAACTATAGTATAGAGCGTCTTGGCTAAGATTGTCTCCTTGACTTTTTTTATACAGTGTTCTTATTGATTATACAGTACTTTAAAATATATATATCAGATATAGTGACTGACCAAAATGAATTTAAGACATAAAATGTTACAATATTACTTCATTTATTATTTGTAATTAGGTGCCCAACATTCCCCTCTAAGTAAAGTGGTACGGTCCAACGTGGTTGCGTGAGCTACACTGTGTGGCGGAGAGATTAAGATGGCGTGATAAGAACTCTACGCACTGAAATTAAATAGGTTCAAAAAACAAAACAAATTCTAATGGTTGTCCAAACAATAATCAAGAATAAAAGTTGTGGGTAATTTAAACACGTGGATGCGGTATTGCCAGAAAAATCGTCATTTTTTGAATAAAAATATATCATTTTTTACTGAATGGATAACACTATATATCAACATAAATTTATTTTAAAATATTGTTACTATAGTTACATAAATAGTCTAACAACATGTTAAGAAACGTGTTGCCAGGCTCATTTCACGTAATTTAAAACTTAATTTTGTACTGTATTGCCAGAAAACAGCATTGTTTTTATTGAAAATTAACATAAATATACATCATTTTTATTGAACAAGTTAACGCTATAAAATATAATATAATTAATTAACCATAACAAATATAGTTACCTGACTAGTTTAACAACATGCTAAGGAATGTGTTGTAAGGTTACTGTATTGCCAGAAAAAGCAGCATGTTTTCATTGAAAAATATTGTAAATATACATGTTTTTACTGTACGGAAAATGCTATAATATAAAATATAGGCCCTAATTCATGTCACCATAATATTACTATATACATGACTATTATAAAAACATGTGTTGCCAGGTTTATTTCAATTATGTTAAACTTACTGCATTGCATGTAAAGCAAACAACTTAATTTAACTTTCTGAAAAAAAAAAATTCAAACACCACTCTGACAAAAGCAATCCATGATAAATTTGCTTTTAACGACGAGTTATGGTTTTCAACTTAGGAAGACTCAATTTAATTGTAGAATTCACCATGAAAGTTAATTTTGCCATATACAATTGGATGTTAAAGATCCACTGTTTCTTGGACAAGCATTTGGAGGTTGTCTATTGCGATTCCTCTTCGGCAGCTTAAAGAATATCTTCATCTGACTTGTCAACAGTTTTGTAGCTTACAGTGTACTATTGTGTCTTGACACTTCTCTAATAGCTTTACATCTTTTGCTCAGATATTCTGATGGTTGAGATAACTCACTGTCGTCCCTAGCTATTCTCATGTTTTTCTCAACCCCTGACAGACTATTTGGAATTTCTTTTGAATATATTCTTTTTATTGTTTCTGAAAATCTTTTCTTGTTTTCTTTGAATGTGAAGGTGCGTATTTAATAAGTGTTGAATATCTTTTCAGTAAACTTCTATAAGATTACTCTTCATATTCTTCATATCCACACCTATTTGCTTAATATGGTAATACATGGTACAACACAAGATTTAAATATTTCACTCCATGCACTTTTTGTCCAATTGTTCAGTCTTATGATCACATTCTTAAATATCTATTTCGCTTAGGAATACAACAATCAGCCTTCTTACCGCCTCCTTGTAGAACTGAACCTTTCAAATCTTCTTCCATATTCTCTAAATGTCTATCTGTCTTCTGCGAACAATTCCTCCATTCATACTACTCTGCTACATTGGTATATTGTTAAATTTTTTTATGATTTGTTTGGCCATTGCAAATATATATTGATGAATATAAATGTAATGTTTCTTGTATGGCAGGTAATAGTCGACTGATGGCTTTTGGAGCAAATGAAAATTTAATTGAAAGATTAGACATTAGATGATAAAAATGCTACCATGGGAATATGCAAGTGTCGGTTGAAAGCCTTTTAGCATATTCCTAATTCTGCTTTGTCCAACAGTATTTGATTTTCAGGTCTGTATTCAAGTGTTCCTGTTTAAACTATCTGATTTTCTAGTGTACAGAAACTTATGTAAGACTATATAAATCCATCTTTGGGACAGAAAAACAAATGATTATAAAAAAGTATCCTTCATTTCTATGTGCACAGACTGGTAGATGTTGGCGAACAGGTTGATCAGACACTTTCACAGTGATCCTTTCCATAAAAATTCCATTGTATTTTGTTGGTTCATGCACACCAAAAGACACTATGGTATTTTTAAAATTTGTTCACTTTCTGAACCAGGTCAAATGTCATATACCCTCCATACTTAAACTGCTGTAAGGGGCGCCCCAGCCTGTAGTTGTAAATTCAAAATTATTAAGAAGGCTTATACCATCCCACTTGCAGTTCTTAATATGTTGCAACATTTGAGAAGGTAGAAACAACCTTTTTTCTGTCTATCCGATTCTAAAGCATGTTTCATTTTATAACCATTGGATTTAGGAGAGGGGGAACGGCCAGCCCCCTCCCCCCTATTTGAGAGGTAAAAGAAAAAAAAAAGAATAAAATGATAGCCCAGACACCTAAAATGGTATTTTTGGGCGTCTAGAACACAAACATTTTGCGGGGGCATACCCCTGGACCCCCTAGGACAGTATTGTCTTGATAAGCCCAACTTTCGGCCCTCCCACTTTTGGACATCTCTGGATCCGCCCCTGCCTGTAGTTTTAAATTCAAAATTATTAAGAAGGCTTATACCATCCCACTTGCAGTTCTTCATAGTGTTGCAACTTTTGACTATAATTATAGTGAGCATCACAGTTAAGAGAGGGGAGACGAATAGTGCAGCCAGAATGAGGCATAGAAATAGAGCAATCGGTGGGATAAATTTACAAATTTGACATCTAGGCTTGTGGCATTTGGTATTACCAGCGGACCTACAGGGTGAAAGTAAGCAAGATGAAGATAGAATAGATTTGAGATTGGGAGGCGGTTGGCTACTACTGGGGGATCATTGAAAATGGTGTTTATGGAGGGATCGAGTTTGAGGGATTGAAATCCTTGTTTAAGTCTGTTAGCTATTTGGGAATTGCTGGGACTGTAATCAATTACTAGGGGTATGCGTTCCGTGATAATATATACAAATTGGTCCTCTAGTTGAACATTATAACCAATGGTATCTGCCAGCCTTCCTAAAGACTCATGGTTCTCTACTCCCTAATAATTGAATACAGAAACCTCTAAAATTAGTCAATATCTAATGAAAACTGCTGATTTTGCCTGTCACTGCACCCCGACAGTGGCCCTTTCTATCGTCGTTATAATCATAGTGGTTTTCTTCATCATCATCTCATCATCACACCATTATCATGATTATTTCGTTTTTAATTTGGAAATGTATGTTTGAAAATGCATTGGTTAATACTATAAACCGACTAGGTCAAGCTAAAATATGGTTTTCTGTCGCGGTAAGAAGTAAGAATTTCTTAGGATTGCGAAGTGTCAGCAAAGAACTATGAAATTTAACTGGAAACCGGTCACAACGTTGGTTTTGTGTAAACAACAAAACTCACGATAAATGTGTCGTATCACAATGCTTGACAGTAAACCGTCGTGTTGAATATCTGTGTGATATGTTAATTGACCACGAAACGACAGGAAACCGAGTTTTATTGAATGAACTCGAGTACGTTACGTTGCAAACTATTCTTTATGAGCGGAAACGTATGCCTATATACAACCATGGAGGAAATGATACAACATTGTCGACAAACACGAACTCTCGTTTAATAGCGTATTGATAATAAAATAGTTAAAAAGAAGCACATCTATATAATTATATATATTTTTTTCAAACACAAGGAAAGGCATGTAAAATTTTATAGCTTTCGTTTAGGCCTGTACATCCGTAAAATATCACTGGAGTATTGTTATTGATCTGGAATGCAGTAATGCATATTTATTTATTTATTTTTAATTTTTTTTTTGAAAGTGATCGAGAATGAGGATTGCAAATAGATTTATAATGTTAATTAAATTTATTATACAAAATACTTTACTGTTGTAATGTTTAACAAGATACATACAACATTGTGTTATAGTTGCACAAAAATACTGTAATTTTATAGACATACAACATATATAATATGAAATATCAAATAAATAATGTAAGTAATAAAACATATAGGCCTACATTTTACAGTAGTGCCAGTTGGTATATTTTCTATTGTTTCAACTATATTTACCAATTGCATTTCACTTTTAATTTTAACTCCTGTTTATATTAAATAACCTAAACTTGAACAAAATTTAAACATCTAAATAATATTTTCAACGGTACTGTATATGGAGATATAATTTTTATGTTTGTTGAAAACATAATTTTATATGTGATGCAATTAACATATATAATCGTATGTGATGTTTTGAAAAATGAAACACTAAAATCGATAATAAAAAGGTTAGAAAATTAACATATGTAGGCCCACTATGCATAGGCTATTGTGTTAAATCGAACGGCAAAATTGTCCTTGAATTCGATCGCCGGATTATTTTAATGAGGGAATTAGGACGGAAGTAGAAATGTTTAACATATTGCAATCGCAAAAAAAAAACAAAAAAAAAACATGAACTTGACATAAAAGCCCTGTAACAACGTTATGGCAGGATTTACCGTTCGATGTAGACAATTTTAACTCCGCATAAGAATCGTCACGGAGAATAATATTTGTCAGCGGCTCAGCAAAATCAAAACTACTTCGTTTTTGTTCAACTCGTCGTAACATTCGTAAGAATCGCCCAATCGGAACAAATGTTATAAATGTTGGCTTTTACTTCGACAGGAAACCAGACTTAAGTCTTAAGGTAAAATCACAGATGACATGTCGTTTCGGCTTAGTACTTATGATCAGAAGGTATATACTAGCTAGGCCTACAGATAGGGCAGTTGCATTCGCTTAGTTATGTGAATATTTTGTCCCTGGTTCAATTCCACAACGAGCTAATCTTGCTTATTTTTCATTATTTTACTGAGTTTTAACTGACAACAGGGAAATTATGTGACTCCAAAATAAACTTAATCGTTGTCCACTTTTACTATTATTTTTTTTAAATTGTATTTTGGGGTGGCAAAATACAGTCGGTCTTCAAACCTCCTAAACCCACAACTCCAGCAGGCGCTGAAAAACCGTAAGTTTGAAATCATATTGTTTCGCTTCGCTCGCAAACAATGAATATCAGTTAACTAATAGGCCTATTTTATTTTCACTTACGCAACTGTTTTATAAATCAAACAAAGTTGTTGCATTTGTTTTTTGACTATATGTCATCATCATGTAGGCCTACTAATTGAAACATGGTACGGTAAGGGACGAAAATATAAACAGAACGAGAGTACATAAAAACTCGGAAAATGAAAATACAGAAAAAATTGACCGCAAATAATAAAAAGGGCTTAGCAACGATACAAAAGCCTAAAGTAAATGTCATAAAATAATAGAAACCTGATATAGATATAGACTCATAAAGGGCGGAGAAGTTCACTACACCGGATATTTAGGAAAGGGGCTGTGCGTGCAAGTAGGTAGCTGTGAAAACATTGATGGATTTTTGTTTTAAATACTTTCAGAACAGTCATGTTTATATTCCCTCTAACCTGAATTGACCTATGACCTGATATTTTGCAGGATTTCTATATCTCCATAACTACTGTCACTAGAGAATCCATCTTGGTTTCAAATTGATCGGATGCATGTTTCTATTCACTGTAATGCAATGAAGCGATTGCATTCTAAAAATTAAACGTCTGTAATATGTCACATTCATATGCAAAATTGTAAAAATATGCAAATTAGGGGTACAATATGTTGAGTTTCAATGTCTCTGCAACAACTGGTTGCAGAAACTTAATTTTTTTTTTATCAAATTGTTCAGAACATGTATGTTTTTATTTGTGCTAATGTAACAATTTACTAATTTAGCTAAGAGGCCAAGTGATATAAACACTTGGGATTCCGCATTTTGAAACGTTTATTTTTTTTACAACGTGTTTATTATATAATATTTGGTAGTGTAGACCTGTCTCTTATACACATCTAGATGTGTATAAGAGACAGTCTCTACACAGCAGAATAAATAGGTACTGGCATATGCTTGGAAGGTATATATATATATATTATAACGTTTTCTGACTTTATAAATGATCCACACTAAATTAGGCATATATACATTATTATCTATTGGTATTCACTTGCCATGCCTCCTTTTTGCTTTTTGATAACATTTGGTTATAGTAAATTCTGATATTAAATTTACCAACTACTACTAGCAGAGACACAACCTCTATCTTATTACATAATATTATATATATAGATATTGATATAGATACTGTATATACTATCTGACTTTTTCTGACTTCATTCAATAATGAGAAAGGAAGCTCTGGTTCTATGTTTTGTTTTCATTTTAGCTGTTGATTTTATTTGTAACTCATTAATTAACAGTGAAGTTCTCTTAACTGGTAGTAGGATAAGTGATATGAATAGGCTTATAAAAGAGTATATTATTCTAAACTAGACTATAATCAACAATCATAGAAGGTATATTTGTTCTTTTCTTTCAACTTAGCTAAACATTCTCTTTTTCTTCAAAATGTGTAAACTAAATAACATTTACAGATTTAGCATGATTGTATAATTATTAGTAATACTGTTTATTGTGAATATAATTCAATTTTGTATATTTATTAGCTTCAATCGTCTTACCTCTCTTTCACGCTCTTGTTCATTTCTTTTAATTTCCTTGATTTTGTTTTTTATTACCACAAACATACCCATGAGTTACCTAGTTTGTAGAAGATTACATATATTGGTTTATTGTTGTTTTAATTTTTTCTAAACAGTATTTCGAATTTTACCTTTCTTTCACTATTTTCGTTC